CTAGATCTAAGGGATTACAGTATAACCCTAAGGAATTAACAACAATAGTCTTGTTATTCTAGGTCTAAGGGGGCTATAGTCTGAGGGCAGGAGTAACACAAGAAGTGTTGAGGACGTTTGGCTTCTCACGCCTCAAGAGCCTGAAATATAGGGATTGTGTAAGGTGCCTCTGACATGAAACTCGAAGTTGTATCCCCCTACTTGGAGGATCTTGACTTAGTAGGTCTATATAGTAACTTGGGTCACAGGACTTGCACAAGGAGTTATCAGGGATAGTAGGTAGACTTACTAAGTCAAGAGATCATCCAAGTATCCCGTGAGAGGGATGAGGAAATCCCCATATCCCTTAACAGCTCTTCTTGCCCCTGCTGCATCCTGAAGTGTTGATGTTACAAGGGAGTCTTCCCAGATCTTGCCTCAAGCCTAGCCGATCCACAAGACACACAGATGGTTAGTTAAGCCCAGAACTCAAACCTTGAGCTCGAAACCTACTAACTAGTCATCAAACGTCATTAAGCATTGATAAACGATGTTCACAGTAATGGCTGGAACACAATCGGAAGCCCAAACTGGGTTGGTTTTAAGGAGCTGAAATTCAGTTACCATACGGGGTATATATAGTAATTGATATGGTTTCCCAGATGTAATAACTTAAATTCTGTTCCTGAACAGCAACCCAGCAAATTCTGAGATTCTGGCCCAGCAGGTAGCCATCTCGAAGAGGATGCCTGACACGAGTGGGCACGGTCAAAACTGTTTGCGGGCCCATCATGAGGTGTAGATTGGTTCGTATTCCGGGGCACGTTTTGTGGTGAAATGGGGAAAGGTAAGTTTGGTCGTTCTTATGGTCACGAACGGCCGTAGAGGCTTCGTATCGTTTGCCTGCTTGCGCAGCCGCGGAGAGGACAATACTTCCAAGGAGAATTGTTGGCTTGCTGCTAACCAAGGAATTTGCGTTAGGTTACTATAATCAGACACCGTAATATTCAGTAGGTACATAAGTATATATATATATACACACCCATATATGGCAACCTAATTTATTTTTGGAAGTTGAGGGATGTTGAGAAGCTCTGGCAAAGGTTTGAGTCTGTGAGCACAGCGGCAAAACATTGGGAATGTTGATGATTAGGTAGCGGGATGGCTTAATACTTAAAAGGGATTCTTTGGATCACTGTGAGGGGTATGGCACTTCATTTCATAAAATCGGGTTTACTTTCTAGGAGGGAAGGAGAGTTGGGGACAGTTTTTCTCGTTTCCCCGCACATGGCTGGGCTTGAGGCATAGAGGCAGTCTAACAAAGATTCAGGGAAACAGCCTCCCCCAAAGTAACATGGAACCCTACTATACTCTTCATTGGAATGGGCATTAGTCTTTATGGGGTCTGGTTGGGGTTCCACGTTAGTTTGGAAGAGTAGCATTGAAGTGGCTGTCAAGCCTGGTGTTTTCTGAGCCAGTAGTTGTCAAGCACTCATTGGACTCACTGACGCCAGGGGATTCTTTCAAAGAGATGCTAGGCTCTATTTGCAGGGGCATAAGGTTTCAGGATTGTCTCAGGCCAGCATGAAGAATGATCCCGGCTTAAAGGGACCTAAGAAGACCTCCAAGTTTAAGCATTTCCCGGGCCACGATCTTGAGAAGGAGTGCTGCCACCCCTGGATCTCTGAAAGCCCAAGGCTTTGGGGGCCGGAGTGTGGTTTGAAAAAGATCTTGTCCATGAATATGAGGCCAAACGTAGACCACCATATCTGATAACCCTTATTGTCAGAATTACACTCTAAAAGGGGCCCCTAATTTACAGAAATTGCATGGGTGGTGTAGACCATAGTTTAGGGTGTCAGGGTTGCGGTGTTTGGGGCTGAACTTTAGGGCTTATAGTCTGCAGGAGGGCAGGAGGAAGACAGCAAAACAAGAAAGGGAGAGCGAGCGAGAGCGAGGAAGCGAGAGAGCGCAAGAAGAAGAAGAAGACGAGGAGGAGGAGAGGGGCGCTTATGATTTACAGGTTTAGCGATTAATCTTTCAACAGTCTTGGGCTATTCTGCACTTGCTGCCGGAGCATGCCAATCTTGCTGGCGCGCGGGAGGCTCTTGGTTCCGAGCCTTTGCATTACCTGTGTTGGGCAATCATCATAAGGATGCTATAGCCACGTGTAGGTACACATCTTGCGTGGCAGTAGTGTTGGGGGTGTTGAGGCAAGTGTTTGAGAGGGTTCCGGGTCTAACGTATGTGATGTATAGCTGGTACTGGCTTGCGTACACGTGGGGATGATCCTGCTCAAAAGTTTGTCTACGACATAAGTCGAGTCTCCAACAGAGTTCATGTGAATTCTGCTGGCAAGTTGTGCTTAGCTGCTATCGATTCAGCATACTTAGAGAGCCATGGCTACTCTGCCGCGGCGGGGACGGCGGTGGCTGCTTCTCCTTCTTCTCTTAGCTTTGCACAAAGAGGCAATGCAAAGAAGACTGGGCTATCAGTCTGCTACCAGAATTAGGCCACAGGCGAACTGTAGCTTCAAGGCTTGAGGGACCTCTAAGCCTAAAGGCCTGACACTCTGAAAGCGCATGTCGTGAGCCTGGTGGGAAGAGATGAAGAAGTCGCGTTGTAGCAGCGGCTGAATGGTCAGTTTGCAAGCTTCAACAAAAATGGTATTTCCCCAAAATAAGGGGGGCCCAAACATAGACCCCAAAATACTATAGTCTTTTTTGGGGGCCCCAAAAGCTACCCCTAATTTTGGCAGGCCCCATATGTCCCTACCTGCTGAATGTGAAAGGCATGTTGAATCCCTTGACACTGGCTTTCCCTGGCAAACCTGTGGCATATGCCTTCCAGCCCATGAGTCACAGGTTCTGAGTAGGGAATGATAACGGAATATCAGCCCTATATAGGGAATAACGGAAGATAATCCCTAGATAATCCCTGTATAGTAT